CTTCTGAGCTGTCGGGAAGGTGAGCCCCACATGGCTGAACCTGGCTGTGAGACCTCTTCTGAGGAAAGCCTCAGCACCGAGGAGCCGATAGCAGGGGATCCGATGAACCCGAAGCAGACGCCGCCTAGGCGCGGAGACTGCCGCCGTGGCCGTGCCGCGGCTACCACCGCCTTGTCAGCCACCGCCGCCGCCACTGCTCCGACAGTTTCGCCACCTACTTCGCCAGGGTTCTGAAGCATGTGCACGAGGGCCTCAGCCTCTCACAGGAGGCCGTGAGTGTCATGGATTCGTTCGTCAAGGATATCTTCGAGCTCATGCCCGAGGAGGCCTCTCGCCTTGCCCGCTTCACCAAGCGCTCCACCATCACCACCAGGGAGATCCAGACAGCTGTGCGCCTGCTGCAGCCTGGGGAGATTGGCAAGCACGCCGTGTCCGAGGCCGTGAAGGCCGTCATCAGGTTCTACGGATGCAAATGAGCTGCCTCCAGACCGCCTGACCACCTCGCAAACCAAAGGCTCTTTTCAGAGCCACGTCACTTGGCACAAGAGACCTGTAACTCTCCAGAGACCCGCCTACTCTAGTGTTTGGACCTGTGCCATTTTGCCTGCTCTTAAAACACCTTTACCGTGAGCAAGTCCACTTTAATATATGTGTGTGGTGCAGTTATGTTTTCCTTGACCATGTCACATTTCATCACGTTCCTACGTGGCCCAGTCCTTCAGGTCAGCGTCTCCGCGACTCTTTAGGGTCACAGCTGGGTACACAATAATTTTACTTCCCTTTTGTATTCTCCTTCTCCCACTTGTTTCGAATACTATCATATAGAGAATTTCCGAGTGTGTTGATACAGCAAGAAGTGAAGCACTGTAGCAGATACAAAACTCACCCTTAGCCCATTCACATTCCCTCAACATATCCCCTCATCCTAATTCAGTTAAATACATAAAAGTGGACCCAAACACCGTGCAGAAAACTCAACCTATCTAGAACTGTGCCCTAGTCAAGCTCCCGACCTTGTGAAAGCCTACTTTAGGTGATTACCCTAACAAAAATAAATAAAATTTAAAAAATGGCCTACCTTAATTCAATAAAATTTTATCTGAATCTGTGCCTTGGTAGCATGCCATCTTTCCCTTTGACGCAAAAGGCTTCCTGCCCTGCACTTATGCCTGGATGACAGGGTCATCCAATGAGAGCAGCTGTGCTCCAAGCCTCCGCTGGCCGCAACCAATAAGCAACTGGCAACGCAGGATCCATGGCCATTGGCCGAAAGGGGGGTGGGGTGACCAAGGCTGAACCAATAATAGCCTTCCTGTGCCTGGAGATTGAGGGGCAAGGTGGTGTGATCTTCAACATGTCTGCCTGTGGGTTTCTGTTGAAGAGCTTCCTTTGAACCAGGGTGGTTGAAGTGTCAACATGTAGATGTCACAGTGGGACCTGTCCCTATCACGCTGCATCAAAGTAAGAGGATCCATGGCAATTAAGAGAACTAAGGTGACTCCTTCCTCTATCTCCAGTAATTTAATGGGGAGGAGGACTTAGGGTAATGGTAATGCACTCTAACACTAATTGTGATTTTCTTCTTGGTGCATGGGCTTTTTCCCTTCTTTGTTTCCTTTTCCTATAGGTACATGCTGAATTTGAAAGTGGTTGGTGATTATCCAAGTGCTTTCCATTTAATTGATTTCCAGCTTCCTATATATCTGTGAAGGGAGAACACACTGTGGGACTGGGGTGGGGGGACTTCAATCCCTTGAAATTTGTTACAGGTTGCATGAAAATAATATCTACTCACATGGTCTTCCCTCTGTGAGTGTCTGTGACTCCAAATGTCTCCTTTTCCTAAGGACAACAGTCCTATTGGGTGAGGCCTAACTTAATGACTTCACCTGCACACGACCACCAGGGTAATGCCAGGGTAGTAGTCTACCATCAACTAAGGTCACATTTAGAAGAACGAGGGATCAGGAATACAACATATCAATTATGGGAGGACAAAGTTCAACCCATAAGAGTCAGGCCTCTGGCCCCCAAAATTCATGTCTTCAAGACCACACTGCATTCATCCTATGTGAATGTCACCAAAAGTCTTCACCCATTCCAGCATCAATGCAAAGGCCAAATTTCATCTAAACATCCTCTACACCAGATGAGGGTGCATTTCCATCTGTGATTAATGCTGAGGCGTAATTCCTGCCCAGCTGAGAATGTGTGACAGGAGACAAGAAGTTACCTGCTTCCAAAACACAATGGACGGACAGGCACAGGACAGTCATTACTATTCCAAAATCTAGGTATTGGAAAGAGAAACAAGGGTTCGTGGGCCCAGAGCAAGTTTGGGTCCTAGTAGGAAACATTATATTAGATCATGAGGATGGAAAAGAATCCTCTCTGGCTCTAGGCCCCGAGCTCTGCTCCCACAAGGGGTGGTAGCCCCACACTCTCTGCCATGGGAAGTGGCGGCCTCCCACCTATCCAGGGCTGCTGCAGTACCTTCTTCTGAAGGCCAGGTGTTCCTAAACTTTGGAACCCAGGAGCCAGCCTTTGTCTCAGGAATCAAGGTGAAGATGGCTCTACAGATCCTGGCATTGCGCCTCTGGGTCTGTAGTGGCAGTGGCAGCCCTGCCAGTCACTGAACCTTCTGTGGGGTCATTTGCCCGCTTTCCTGAAGAATAGTCGATGTTCCCACTGAGATTAGCTGTGGGACCTTTTCTCGCCTGCCAAATCCCAGTTGTCCCAACAGTTTTCCTTCGTGTTGTCTGTCCCATCTCTTTCCCTTGAGTTCCGGCTAACCACCTTTCAGCCAGCATCAAATTCTCAGAATAAGACACCTGTTGGCATTCCCTACATTCCAAAGGGTTCAAGCTATCGCACAGTGGGGTTCTCCACACGTTTCTCTTGCATAACCGTATCTCCATTCCTGGCTTCTGTTGAGATGGTCGATTGGACCCACGTGTCACATGCCTAAGCTCCCAACTGATCGTTTTCCAGGCACACCCTTGCCCCTTTTTCCAAAGCAGGCTACCTGGTTAGGCTGAGAAGGTTGCAAATCATCGCGTGCTAGTTTCATCTCATTTCACGCTACCTTCTTCAATTTACGTCTCTCCTCTGGCATTTACTATGAGCAGCAAGGGGAGACCAGGCCATGCCTTCAACCCTGTGCTTGCATATCTCCTCAGCTTATCTGTCCCAGCTCATCGTGTGAACATTCTAGTCTTCACCAAACACAAAACACTGGCACATGCTGTCGGCAAATACTCTGTCACCTGATAACAAAGATGGCCATTTCTCAAGTTTCCAATAACATGCCTCTAATTTCCATCTGCTATCTCAGCAGAAGCACCCTTCTCACTCACATTTCTAGCAACGTAATTTTCATGATGCTCTATGTATTCTCTAAGATGATAAAGTCTTTCCCATAGCTCTCCTCTTTTCTGTATGAGCCCTCACCTGAAGTACACTTCATGTCCATATTTCATCCAACAGTCCCCCAAAGCAATCTCAGCTTGTTCTGTCATGTATCTCAAAACGCTACCATCCTTACCCATTACCCAGTTTCTTCCCCTGCGCCCACATTACCCAGTTTCAGAGCCACTCCCAACTCCCTAAGTCTTTGTTACAACATTATCCCACTTCCGGAATAAAAATCTGCATGAGTGTGCTAAATCTATCCTTACAAAGTACCACAGACTGCAGAGCTTAACAGAAATGTATTGTCTCACAGTTCTGGAGGTTAGAATTCCAAATCAAGGGTTATGGGCCAGGTTACTTCCTTCTGAGATGTGTGAGGCAAGAATCAGATCCTGGTCCCTCTCTCTTGGACTCTTACATTACTGACTTTTCCCATTGTTTTGTTTTGTTTTGTTTTGTTTTTCCACATTTTCTTTTCTATGTGCATGTCTCTGTGTTAACATCCCCCCCTTTTATACAGGCAAAAGTCATTTTGGATTAGTGTCCGAACGAAAGAGGGGATTTTAGCTTGATTGCCTCATTAATGATTTTATCTCCAAATATGATCCCATTGGAGGTCCTGGGTGTTAAGGATGTCTTCATATGATTTTGGTGCAGATGGGGGGTGGGGTGGGGGATAGAACAACCCATGTGAGATAGGAAACCCGAGCTGTACATGGGCACATGCACTGCTTCTTCCATCGTATCGATTACTAGTTGTCCCGTTAGAGAAGTGAGGTGATCTCATTCACCACCCTTTTCTTCAAGACGGTATTAATGTTCCTTAATTTTATTGTATTTTTTACATTTCTAGCTTCCTATCTCTGCAAAAGTGAATATACTCTGATTTCAATTTTTAGGAATTGATTACGGTATTTTTGGCAATCCACATTTGGTCGATATTTTGAGAATGGCATTTTTACTCTTGAAATACTTTGTAAATGCCCATGTGAACGATGACATTCCCTGCCAAACAAATCTGGATGATCTCAAAAATCCAAAAACTTTCCTTAGCCCATCAGAAGTGCCCCAGGAACCTCCTGGATTGTCACATCACAAAACTTATTTAGCTATGGCAGAACAATATGACTTCCAGAAAAATAGGGTGGGCAGTTCCAGAAAACGAAGGATACCAGAGAAGGCTTTTGTGTGTAGCAAAGACGTGAAGGGGTGCAATGCCTCTTCCATCACTAGGTGCCAAGTCTGGGTTTTTTGTTGTTGTTTTGTTGTTTGTTAGGTCCAATGTAGAAGAACTCGGATGAGCCATTATAACTCCAGGGCTGTCCTTGGGATCATTACAGTAAGAATTTAGGATCAGTGGCCACCCTCGTAAGGTTTATTGCTTATTGTTTCTCTGGAATATTTGAAAAATCCAGTCAGAGGATTTGGAAAAGTACGGAATTCATTCTGTAAGGCCAGTGGGAAACATTCCCGGGAATTCAACAACCAGTAAATTGTCCTTGGTAGTGCCCCAAGATGGGGAAAAATATTTGGGGAGCTAAAGGCTCTTCACCACCATGGCCCTTTTCAAAGATACAGCGGTGAGCCTCTTTGCATAAACAGCATTCCACTGAGGCACTTCCTTTCTGTCATGCTCACTGCTGCTGTTTCAAAGTCCATCTGTTTGTTCATGTGACACACGAAGGTTTTCCATCTTGCTCTTACGTACCGGTCTCATATGTATCGTTTTATGTGAGAAGTCATGTTAAGAAATAGAATCTGTTAGGACAGTTTGACACTCCTTTGGGTGTTTTGCTCCGTAGTTTCAGAAATCAAATAGGAGCATGAGTAAAACAACACTGAATGCACCACATAGACCATGAAGACTGGGAGTGTGAAGGTGTGTGACAGATACAAACTCAAGATGCAGTGAGGGAAAATGGATGTTGAAGCCTAGACAATATGGAAATGAGTACCCCTGATGACTTCTGACGGCAACTGAGGACACAGGGCATCCAGTGAGCATTCATTCTCTAATAGTGTGGTTAATGGTAAAGACTGATTGAGAGAAGTGGATTTGTCACTTAACTAACAAATTATAAGCAACAACCCTGGGAAACTAGTAGTAGTAATTCTACCGTCCCCAATCAAACTTTTTTAAAAAGATTTATTTATTTATTTGATGGAGAGTGAGATTGCGAGAATGAGGACAAGTAGGCAGAGCGGAAGGCAGAGGGAGAGGACAAGCAGGCTCCCCACTGAGCAGAGAGCCTGATGAGGGGCCCAATTCCAGGACCCTGGGATCATGACGTGAGCCAAAGGCAGCTGCTTAAACAACGCAGCCCCCACGTGCCCCCCCAATCCAACTTTCTCAACATTACTTTTGTTATGGAATTCATGGAAAAACAGAAGACAGGACCCAAACTCAGTACAGAAATCGCTAAATCAGAAAGTTCAGGAAACAATTCCTATTCCAGGCTCCCTCGTAACTGGAGCTAACTCTTTAAGTAGGCCAGATTTAGCCGATTCTATTCTTCCCAAGCCTGTAATCTTTTCTTGTGGAAATCACAAACCTTCAGGACTTGCAGATCGGCTTCATGAGGATGATGGAGGCTTCTAGTCAAGGCAACTCAAGCCTCAGTCAGCTGTGAGTTAGCCAATCAGAGATGTGCAGCCGCTGACCCGCAGCATTGGGCCTAGTGTGCGGTCAGGTGTCTCAGGCTGAAGCAGTAAGGGTCTTACTGGGTACTCAGCCTCTGCGATTGAGTGGGAAATTGGAATTATACTTTACCTGTTGTTTGTTTCTTTGTTTGACTAATTGTATGCTTTTAACCATGAGGAGAAGGATATGAATCCAGGCCTGTGCATGGATGACTTTCTCACCACTTGCATCAGGTCAGAGGAGAATTGCTCAGATTAATAGTAGTAAAACGATTTTCCTTGATGCCGACCATGTATCTGAACTCAGGCTATTTGAATATACACTTTGTTGTTGTTGTTGTTGTTGTTGTTTACCTCTTGCTACATGGGCCTGAGCAAGTAAGACCCATCGCATTACATACTCGGCTTTGCGTGAAGTGGTGCTTTAATGACTACAGACTTTGAGAAAACTGGACTGTTTCCTACTGAGAAAAGGAGATGCTAATGAAACTTCTATTCCCGGTCCTTAGTTCTGAGTCAGGGGGAAAAAAAAATTCCCTGAGAATGTGCATTCACAAGAGTGTCCTTGTGTAGCTCTGGGTTTCAGGTTAGCACTGCCAGCTTGATGCCAACAGTTCGTGGTCAGAAACCCAGACACATGGCAAATGCACTTCTAATCCTTCCTAGGGGAGTAACCTTAATTGAGGTTGTTACAGGATTCCTGCAGATAAAGTCCTCCTACACAAGCACACAATCCCAAAACAAGCCGTCCCTCTCAAAATCAAACAAGAAACCAAAGTGGAAAGTTCTAAAGTATTATTACCAAATGCCAACTTCCAAACACGGTTAAAACGTTTATATAAATAATTACAAGAGGGACGTCTGGGTGGCTCCGTCGGTTCAGCATCTGCCTTCAACTCCAATCATGATCCCACTTTCCTAGGATCGAGTCCCACATCGCGCTCCCTACTGAGCGAGGAGCCTGCTTGTCCCTCTGCCTGTCGCTCCCCTTGCTGGTTCGCTCTCTCTCTCTGACACATGAATAAGTAACATCTTTAAAAAATAATTACAAGAGATGTAAAATGAGAGTAGGAAGCAACTCGTTATCAAAAATGTCTTCAATGGTTTCCTAGTCTTGAAAATAGTAGCTGCTAGAGTAAAAGATTCACCAAAGTTTACAGAGCAAAGGACACATACCAGAGAGAGATAATGGGTGAATAGAAGAGAGGTGAAAGGAGTAAGACAGAATGCCTCATAGAAGGATAAATACAAAAATGGGATGGAAGTGAGGCAGAGACTTAAGGAATGGGGTAAGTAGTTATTAAGTGCATCTCAGCGGCATTCCAGAAGCAGAAACTTGGATGAATTTTGGAAGAATAATATTCAAAGACAAATGTCTGGTAATTTCCCCAAATTTAAGGCAGCCATGACATCCCGGATTCAGGAAGCCCACGTGGATCCATTGTAGTAAAGCGAGGATTTAAGCATAGAGAGCAAGATAGCAGACACAGGGCACGGTGCCTAAAATGGAATACCAAATAATGTGATAACATACCTCTTTTCACCAAGAAATGGAAGCCAAAAGCTAGTGCTGAGAGAAAACCACTGTCAAACTCCGGTTGCCTGGGTAGCTAGTGTATCATTTGATAATGAGGCTATCATAGACATGAAGATGTTCCAACCAGCACTCTCCTCAAAGACAGACTCTGCTTCAGCTGCTGAGAATGCAGTCAGCTGGCAGTCCTCAGACTTTAGTCCTTTTAGGGGCTCCCTCAACTACAGAGAGCTGCCATGTCCGAGCTCTGGGACTTCCCCTGATGGCCACATCCAATGTCTGATCAACAAGAGTTGAGTAATATAGGTCCCTGTGGTGGTTTCGTAGACAATTTGTGTAAATTGGTGTTTAGTTTAGTTTAGTTTTGTTTTGTTTTCCAGCCAAGAACACTTATATTTGGTCAGCAATTCTAGTGTTCGGGTATTGTTTTTTCTACCTAACTACTGTTAAGAAAACAATTTTAAACTTGGCAAATTCTGATAAAAACACTAAAAACCGTTCTGGTGTTTTTATCTGTATGACTACCTCTTTGTGTGCTGTGTTTGGAGACTATGGTCTTTGCCATTTCTCCTGAGGGTCTCGGTCAGAACTCGGGGCAGGGGCTCGTCAATTATGTCTCTTGATTTGCGCCAGCACTCTGCTGGCCATGCGAGACATCCTGCCCAAGCCATAGTGGCTTAGCCCAGGACAACAGTCCATTCTGAATGGTAGGAGAAATGGCCCCAAATTGGCCAGTCATTCCTCTGGAACTAGGGGCCTGGGATATGGAGGTCAGACTGTCTCAGTAAGCCAAAGCTGAAAAGCCTACAATTTTGGTGCTTCTGGTGAAGTCTTCCCGAATCTCCCATGCCGGGGCATCAGTGAACACGTGTTGTTGGTTGACCTTTCTTCTCACTGGCGTGTTTTTGTAGTATTTCTGAGAGAGGCAACAGGAAGGTTAATACCAACTCTGATTAGTTGATACGATGCCTGGAAAGCCAGAAGAGGGGAAAGGATCTTCAGGGGGACCCATCTGTGCTAGCTGCAGGTTCCAGGCTGTCAGGAGGAAGAGGACTTTGCAGTACACTGGGAATGGGCCCTCTGGGACTCGTCCTCTCCCTCTCCTCTCCTGTAGTAACACCTGTTGGGTTAGGCTGAGCAGCTGACAATGATAGTAGTGACTTGGAAAATTAAGTAAACCGGTCCTGACAAACTGGCCTGCGTGCCCAGGCCTGTTCTGATTTATTTGTGAGTAGTGGTTTTGCCATCTGTGAAGATCAGCATCTGGTTGCTTGGCAAGAAAAAAGATAGGGTGTGCCAGTGACTGTGACAGAATGGAGGCTCGCTGGGGATTCGTGGCTGCTTGACTTTCTCTCCATTCTACTCTGGGCACTAGTGGGCACTAGGTCTTGTCCCACCAGGGCAGGCCAGGCACGCACATGAGAGCTCTGCTTGAGAATTTCTGGGATCTCCGGTTATCTCTTGTGGACACACCTGAAGGATCCCAGGGCCCCAGGGATTTCAGTAGTTCCACAGACAACCACCCCAATCTCATATCCTCACCTCTTGCTCTTGTGCAGAAAACATGGGGAAATAAATTCAGCTCTGGTTTATCCCATTCTGCTGGCCTTTCCTTACAGCGTTTAGAAACAGGCACCACCAGGAGCTATTATGAGATGTGTAATTACTTATGACCAGTTGAAATCCCCCCCAACTTCTTAATTGTAACTTAATATACTATCTTTGTGTAGATAAATGAAAATGGACTGGTCCAATTTATGTCTCTGTTTCTTGTGTGCTGCTCCCGACCTGCCAAAAAATTTGCCCCCCAACACACACAAAGCAATTGAATAGAAAGGAAGGTGCTCCAATATTGCTACCTCCTGTTACACATGCCTGTTTAAACCCAGGCATCATTTTCTTCCTCTCTCCCTATGTATTCATGCCTTTCCATCACCATCACTTTACCTTTGGTGTCATTTTAAGAGATGGACACATTGAAGCTGGGTCTCCAGAGCATCCTGGTTTCTAGCATGTGCTGATCCAATGGCACTTACTGCTTATCAGAAATAAGGTAATATGTGCAATATAAAGTATTCCAATAAATCAGGACTCTCTTAAGGTCTGTTACTGTTTTGATGTTGAAAATCAGCCGACTAAATGCACAATGAAAATGAATGTTTGAAAGATTTTGTGACCGAGGTCCCAAAAAGTTTAGAGGGCACCGGATTTCCTTCTCCGATTGTCCGATGTGATGTGAAGCTCGAGGGTGTGCCATCACAGGGGACAGGGCCTGGCAAAGAGCCCCGCTTCCCTGCATTGCATTTTGTCCAATCAGATATGGAAGTTGCCTGTGACGTCAGGAAATGCAGCGACTGTAAATGGACCAGCGCCCCCTCGGCAGCCACCATCTTCCTTCCTTCTGAGCTGTCAAGAAAGCGAGTGCCACATGGCTAAGCCTGGCTGTGAGACTTCTTCTGGGGAATGCCCGGGCACGGAGGAACCCACAGAAGTGGACCCAAAGAGCCCGAAGCACGAGCAGCCAAGCCGCCAATGCCGCTGCTGCCGCCGCCCCAACAGTTTCGCCGCCTACTTCCCCAGGGTTCTGAAGCAGGTTCACGAGGGCCTGAGCCTCTCGCAGAAGACCGTGAGCATCTTGGATTCGTTCGTTAAGGACATCTTCGAGCGCATCACCGACGAAACCTCTCGCCTGGCCCGCTCCACCAAGTGCTCCACCATCACCACCAGGGAGATCCAGACAGCCGTGCGCCTGCCGCTGCCCGGGGAGATTGGCAAGCACGCCGAGTCCGAGGCCACCAAAGCCATCATCAGGTACACCGTCTGCCGATGAGCTGCCTCCAGACCACCTGACCACCTTGCAAACCAAAGGCTCTTTTCAGAGCCACCTCACTTGGCGGGAAAAGGCCTGTAGGCTTTAAAAAGTGGGACAAACTCTAGAGTTTTTGTTCTCGTTGTGGCATTCTGTGGATGTTTAAAGTAGTTTTACTTTGAACCAAACATGATCGGCACTGCTTTCATCTATATTTGCGTGCAGTTTTTCCCTTGGACAACTGTGGACTCTGCTTAACCATGCTGGTTTTCTTGGCTTTCCTACACGGTCACTTCTGTTCGATATTTCTGTAGGTCCGCCTCAATGCGGGTTATTTTTGTTATAATGATGTTTACCTTTTTCTCTCTCATTCTCTCATGAGCGTGTGGTGAATTTTCCAGAGGTTCGTTATGGGTGATATGGCAACAGATGAAGTGCAGAAGCTGATATCAGAATCCGTCTGAGTTCTGTTAGGCGGGTTATTGAAGGGATTTTTAAGTATCTGAAGCAACGTCAATCTCCTTTATGCTCTTATAGAAAAGATATTTTTCATAGGCATTTGAAATTTATGTTAACGTGACATAATGGATTCCTATTAAATTTTTAAATGGATTCTGGAATATATATGAACATTTCTGTCTTAATATTTTGTACAGTAAATATTGGCATATATTATTGACAGTACAGCTTCGGTGGTTCCTCTTTATTCACTTACTTGTTTTTGTTTTGTGTGTTTTTTTAATCAGGTCTTTTATTTCAACAGCAGAGAAAGCAGTATTGTCCTATTTGTGATAATATCACCGTAGCACTATACAATGTTTGTTAGTTTACAGCATATATTTACATGTACTATTTTATCTGGTGTTTAAAACAATGCTATCATAACTAGTTTATTACAGAAGCAACTCAGATCTAGAGAGCACAGAGTCCCAAAACTTGTAAGTGCAATATCAGTTCTTGAACGCAGGAGATCCACACGCTCCACCAGGGTCCATAAGAAAATGTGGAGAAAAGTCATACAATTGAAGTAATGTTCCTGGTGCTGAAGAAAACTGTATTCGGTTACTTCTTACCACCTCTCATTTAAATTCGTCATCTCCTTTATCTTCTCAGCCCACCCCCACCATTCCTACTACCTAAAGATTGAAAATATGGCTCATTCATTCACTCAACAGAATCCTTTGTATCTACTGTATCTGGACTAGACACTGCAAATATGTCTATGTGTAAACAAACAAACAAAAGCCATGCCTGACTTTAGGTTGCATTTGCTTAGAGTTGGCTAAGGTTCCTGTTTCTTTCTAAGAGTGTAAAGTTTCCCAAGATAAAGCTATCCTAGGTATTTACTCATTTGCAGGGCAATCAGATCAACTAAAACTATTTAGGTTCTCTTTTTTTTTTTAGCATTTATATCTCCTTAAAATTTAATTTGCAAATATTCACAGATACCTTTTGACTGTAATGCTGATAAAGAGATTTCTTGTCACTTTCTGGCTCTAATAAGAATGATAGTAGCATTTCATCAGCAAAGGTGGTATGAAGATTTTGTTGAGATCTATGTGCTCAGAATGACAATTTTGGTTTTCTAAGCCATTTCATGTAACTTATTAGATATCAAACATGCCCTTCCAGTAGCTTCAGCAGCCATTGCAAACACTATTTTCTCTTGGTTTATTTAAGTAAGTTATCGATGTTCCAATATTAAAAATTCCTTAAATTTATGGAAGGGAACCCCTTCATCGGAGGCACTTCGGAGAAGTTTGTAGCCCGGAGATACGTATTGTGTGGTTTGTTTGCTGATGTCGTTTAGGCCTACCTTCCCCAATCAGAAGTGATCTGAAAGCTGTAAGTTCATCTGAGCTCTTTTATTCCTCCCAATTTCATGAGCATTCCCATCTCTTTCTTAACCTCATTGAAATGCAAGCCCGACACTAATCGCCCTACTTCATTCTCCAACTCATTCCTCTTTCTTCAAAAGGAGTTTTCACAACCCCTGAGTGAGTGATTTTGCATTTTCTCACACGAAGGGCTCCAAGATGCCCTAAGATTAAGAATGTCAGTGTGCTGCCTGGAGTTTTCTGCTCTACCTACCTTTAGAAGGTGCGCAAACAGGTTCGCCCTGATGACAGTATCCATTCTGAGGGTATGACCATTATGTGGCCCGCTGTTAGTGATCGTCTCCATCATTGAGTGAACTGCTGTTGAGAGCACTCAGTCAGCAGATCCAATTTTTTGTTTTTACCAGGAATGTGAACTTCCTGAGAAGAGAGACCTTGTCTCCTTTGCTGTCATATATCAGGAGGGAGTATTATGTATGGCGCTTCGTAGGGACTCAGTAGTCGTTGAATAAATACGGGAAGACGGATGAGAGCAGATGTTCTAGAGTCCCAGAAGAGGCGGTGATGGGTTGGGAAAGAAAAGGCAAACAGCAGTGGGTTGAGGAGTGAGATGAGGTAGATGAGGAATGGAGATAGAAATCGGGTACTCTTTGAAAGAAAAGGGATCCCGGTCAGGAAGTAGGAAGAGAGTGTTAATGGTATCATAGAAGAGGGGTTTTATTTTAGATTGGGAGATAGGACAATGTCTAGAGATAGTAATAGTGGCTGAATCTCAGTTACTGGTATTGCTGTTACATTACTATCATCATCACCATACCTCTACCATAGGAATTTCCGTAAAATACCCCTTTCATCAGAACCCCAGTGGACAGGTTCTCTATTCCTCCACTTGGGCTGTGAGTTCTGCATCAAGATAGCACCCTTCCGAGTTCTATCATTTATAGGCTGTGTGGCATTAGGCGGCTTGCTTAATTTTTCAGAAACTTAATTTCCTTTTCTCTTCATTGGAATGACCCACACCTATTTTAACAGGATAAAGAAAGCTGGCTTGGGGCCTCTCTCCAACCCCACTCCTGGCAGTCGTTTAAGAAGGCCCAGCCTCCATGGCCACGGCCCTGTGTTTTGATTTTTACTGCAGAGAGCTGCTGGACCCTGCCAATTCTGCATGTGTCCTGAGCAATTAAATGCTGCTTCTTAATTAAATTCTGACTGTAGAGTTCTTTGTTTCAGGCGCTAGCAACACAAAGCACCACCAATGGGGAACATTTCACGAGGACTTACTAGGAGTCAGGTGTCAGGAGCTTTATATGCAGGTATTTTTAATCTAAGAAACACATAATGCCTCATATATACTAGAAATATTTCTAAGCACTTCGAATGTGGTAACTCATTTAACCCTCTAAGAGTCCCATATTCCAGACGGGGAGACATAGCACAGAAAGATGAAGTAAGTTGCTCAATGTCAATGCGCTAGTCAGCAGAAGAGGTAGCACTGGAAACCAGAACACCCGGTGCTAGGTTTTTGGCCCTCACACCACTACATTGTAAAGCTGCTGGCTTCAGCTTGACAACAGTCCAGTGAAGCTGCTACTATTATTCTCCTCCATTTCCCCCTGATGCTCAGAGAAATTAGGTTACTTTCCTAAAGTCACACAGCTGGTAAGTGGTAGACCAGGTTTGAATGAGGTTTCTCTGACTCGGAAGCTTATAACCATTTGGATGGCATGCAAAGTCCTTCCTCTAACAGTTTCAAGCTTTTTGCTACATGTGCATATCACCAATCCAATTGTTTATTGAATAGAGCTATTTTAAGAAACTTATTTTCAAGATTTTTGAAAACATTTTCCTAAGCCATAATATCTGCAACATCACAGGATAACATGGTGTTCATATATTTTAAATTCACACTAACTAAACTGCTTAAGTGTAAGAAAAAATATCTGTGTGTCACTTAAAAACATCTCGTGTGCCTGCAGAGGCACGTATACCACACGTGGGGATGTATTGCATTCCATAATACTTTTCACCCACGGCCCACCCTTCATCCCCAAAGTTCTGTTCAGACCCCTTTTCCTAAAAACCACAGGGGATGTTGGTTTCCTTCTTGGACTCAGAGAGACGTACATAGAGTGGAGTTCCTAGGCTGCTCACAACCCACTGGTCAGAACATTACTTACATTCCAGTGATGTTTGGTGAGTGGAGGTGGACGGCTAGTTCCAGGGAATAATTCACCGTATACAGCAGAGCTAAAGAAAACACTGATCAACTCTTTTAGATCGTTTTAGTTTTGTGGCAAAACACTGCTGTCTTAGGAAGGAGAAGAGTAGCAGAGTGGGCTCTCTATTAAAACATGTGCTGAAGTACAGGAGGTGCCAACTGGTTAAAGGCCTGCCGGAGTTGGCAGGATAGCCTTTGATGGTTCTCAAAAGACACGTCAGAGATCTCAACCCACCACAGTTGTCAGTAAAACACGTGTGGCGAGGAGTGCAAAAGCATGCCATGTACACCTTTTCTGCCAAGGCTAAAACCTCACAGGAGAAGGGAGTGTGGGAGGGTGCTTAGCGGCCAACAAAGCCCTCCTTATACCCACTTCCCAGGCACCTCGTTGAAGGAAATTAACCAGACTGTGGAGAGGAAGTTCAGGGCTGGTTGAATGGGCTGAATTCCTGTGCCATGTGAGAGGAAATGATACAGACCATATTTATTTAGTGCTCATTTCCTCTCTTGGGCTAAGCATTTTACTTCCACCATCTCATTTAATGCTCATAACCACCCTCTGATGTGGGTACTACTGTCATTCCCTTTTTTACAGATGAGACAACACAGGCACGGGGAACTTCCCTAGTGGCACACAACTGGTAAATACTAAAGCTGGGATTTGTACCCAGGACGGTCTGACTTCAAATCATGTAAAACCAGGCCATATCCTGCGGACTGAAACGGATACTTAGGATGTTTCCATATCTTGGCTGTCGTAAATGATGCTGCAATGAACATGTTAGTGCCCATTAATTGTACCCGTTTCTCCGGTAAATACCCCCAAGTGGAATGGTTGCATCATACGGTACTTCTCATTTTTTGAGGAACCTCCATGCTGTTTTCTTCATTGGTGCACCAATTACATTCCAGACATTACCGACAGTTCACAAGACTTCCTTTTTCCATCCGTCCCGGTCACAAGCATTTGTTATTCCTAG